ACCTGGATAATACCGGGAATAGCGAAGAATAGATGGTACGGCGAATCAGAACACACCAGTGAAGGCTGGCAAAAGGGTTGTCGAATGAATGTGGTGCAAGATGGGACGAGAGTGGACAGACGAAGGACAAGATGACCTAACAGACAATGTCGGGATGAATGAGAGGGTGGAGTCCCGGCAGACTGCGAAGTAAAGACTGATGTCAAAAACAGAAGGGAAGCGAGCTCCGCCAACCAACAGCGTGAAGAAGTTCCAATGACAGAAGGCGCCAGAAGATATAGCTCGGGTCAAGGTAGGTGGTACGAACGCCCGACCGCACGTTATCGTGACAAAGATGGGCCGAGAAGAAAGGTAGTTGCTCGTACACTGTATGTAGAGGGAGGTACTGAAGTAAACAAGGCCTGGGACGACTGGGAGAGGCAGTAGCGGTTGCCAGTATACCGTAAATCCCACTGCACAAGTGGCTTCTCTAGCGTAACAAAGGTATCCGGCGCCTGTTAGATATGCGGGTTGTCAGATGGCCTGGAGAACGAAAGATGTCAGTATCAGAGAAGAGAAGAAATATAGCAGGAGCGTGCGTGTCTCTAAACACAAGCATGCACACTGGTGTACGCACACAAGCTAGTTGAGAGATGGCTGATTACAGGTCCTTCACCTTGCTTCCACGTATTTGGAATGAAAACAGGCTGTACTGTATAAGAGGTATGAATAGATTGGACGACCGAAGGAAGGAAGGTGTGAGGCGGGTGTTAGACATCAGTCAGGCAAGTTATTAAAGTGGGTAGTATATGACGCGGAGGAAGGTAGGCAAGTGAAAGATGTGGTCACTGGTGTTGGCCATCCAGAGGGTCAAGTACCTACAATGCGTGTGTACAGGTGGTTGTGCCTTCTGAGAGGCTGTTGGAACGGTGCGAGCAAGGCAGGTGCAAGTTTGGCAGATGTGTAGGTAGTTGCCTGGATGGAAGGATAGACTCACCTTAAACTTCACCACAATGAATTATCTGAAGAATGGTAATCAAGGTAGGTAGGTGGTGTAAGGTTCCTGGTTTTGGGGGGGTAACGTAAACTTTAATGAGGTGACTGAAGACGATCTCAATGCCACCTAAGCCTTAATGACCGAATTAGCAAACTGGAAGTGCACACCCAACCTATATCAATGGCAACCTTAGTATGTAGGTATGTACATACATACCCAAGAGGGTAGAGAGAAACAGAAGCAGGCAGGTGCGTTTAGCGAGACCAATGAACAATACTGTATCCGAGTCCCACTGTAGTTGGACTCCAGATGTGAAGGTGCGATACACAGGGCCATTGCGGGATATGGAAGCCTTACTTAGGCACATTTGACGTACCTGAACAATGACTTGGATCCAGCAATAAGAATGTTCCAGTTACCACTGACATACACCTGGTTCGTACCTATTCTCATGCCACCTGTATGCTCACCTTCAGGCCTCGACACTTCCTGAACGGAATCTCAATGGCGGTAGATTTGTGGGAACGGAAGGTCAGGGAAGCAGTAGACAGGGCACCTAGCTTGGGGTATTGTGGAAGAAAGACAGACGATGGGCAGGCCGAGCACAAACAATACATCGAGGTATGAGAAAGTGATTAGTCACAAGGCACTCTAGAATTCCTATTAGGCCAATTTTCAATCGCGATGCCTTGGCTGGAGGTGAGCCCGTGTACGGATAACAACAACATCGCACAACCGACACTTCGAACTATATCAGCAAGCTTCGTCATCAGTCCGACCTGGCATAACTGCCGCGTCTCATTGTTTTGCTTCTCGAATATCAAGTTATGTACCAAAGGGGATATATTTACACAAGATGGGATGCATCAAGGATCCCGCATAGAACCAAATCCGGGCACAATTAGTGCGTTTCTGTAGCTAATAGCCACCTATTCGCCCGCGTTATGTACGGTACAACTCGTGTGAGTGTAAGATCGAGTGTGCGGCGCAAGATAGTGGCGTACAAGGCTTGGTATCCTCTCTAGCGACGCACTGTCGAGACAGAGGGTCGCAATGTCGGATACAGTATGGTCCTCAGCCGTCTGTATTATTAGAGGAATTCTCTCTCTATCTCTCTCGGAAAGAACTCATCGGTGTGTTGGATATCGCGAGTGTTATACATGGGCATACAAGCAGAGTGCTGATTGTTATTGTCGGGCATTCCCCTTTAGTGTTTCTTTTCTGTGTAAGGGTCAGTAGACGACATCAATACCAGCAGTCCAGGGGTTGCGATAGTGAGCTTACCTGTAGCGGTGCGCTTCTTTTTCGGTGGTGCCTTTCCGCGTGCCCTCCGTCTTTCCGCATTGTTAGCATGTCCCGAAAGTATACCGATCCGCATCGCGAAAGGGACTCACCCAGCGACGTGTTCCAGGCGGTCATCCTCGACGTCGTCGACAGTCTCAAGCCCAAATTGTTTGAACTCCTTCGCCAAGGTTCGGATGTCGGGACCTCGCGGGGGATACCATTTTACGAGAGAAGGACCTCGGAGCCTTTGTCGGAGGATCTTGTTTCCCATTCGTATGCCGTCGGGGTTGTAGGTTGTTGAGAAGACCTGGCACTGGACCTGATCGGGGTGACCGTCAGTCAAATGCGCTGCGCGGCAGAACGGGAGACGTGGCATACCTTCATAAGGTCGAGCAGCCGCGCCCGGGGAACAGCGGTCATCTTGAGGTAGCTGCCGGACGTGGGCGAGTATTGCGGACAGGTTGAATGACCTCTTCGAAGGTTGGATCGCAGGCTCGGAACAAATGGTTCTGGACTTGGTAGACAGATGGATGTTGAATTGGAGACCCACCAAAGGGCCTGTGTTTGGTGCTGGCTTACTTAATCAGGAACATGCCCCGTACCTCACACAGTGTCGCACACTGGCCCTCCGACTTGCACATCAAAGCTCCCAAGTTCATCATCATCATCATCAACACAGCTCAACTTCCACTTCGCCCGTTGCTTCCGGATTCTTACCAGACTACTCTAATAAATTTGCAGGACGACACAGGTTCCATATATCCCGCTTATACAGCCTTGAATACGCGACACGCGTGGTGTCTTGCAGAAGAGGGAGATGTCTAAACGTTCATTTGACGAATTCGCCAAGGTGGAACATTTCAATTCGGTCTACCATTCCGCTCTGGACAATGCCAATAAATTACTGGAAGCCGCACAGTCTTTAAAACACGACCTTGACCGACTAAGCAAAGAAAGCCATTTCACCTCACACGAGAGACTCCTCTTGACGCTGAAGCGACATAATGCTCAAATAAGTCCCGTGACCCGGGCGTTATGCCAAGCTGAGGTTCGAGCATACCAGAATATAGATTTCATGCCCTCAGCTCTGTTCCCGTGTTGCTAACCTCACATCAACAGACAGCCGATCCGAGTGGACCAACAGAGAATGTGCCAGAAGCGCCAAACAAGGTGCAAAAAGTGGGAGATGGACGTCCACATTCTACTGGTGACAGCAGTGCGAGGTCTCCATTTGGACCGGGAGTGACAGTCCCGCACCCGGTAATGCTGACGAAATGGACGCCTGAAGATATCCCCAAGACGGCTGTGCTACCTCCACTTCCTCCAGTGCTCGATCCAGTTCTCGAGAAGGCGTCGCGCACACACTCGGGCATGGCAACCGCTCTGGGAGAGATGAGCTACGAGAAGCTCGAGTGGATAGGCGACGCCTATCTCTATCTGATGTCATCCGCCTTCATCACCCAGACATTCCCGAACCTACCTACAGGCCGCTGCTCGCAACTGCGAGAACGGCTGATCAAGAATGACGCCTTGTCGGAGTTCACTGTGGGGTACGGTATCGACAAGCGAGCCAGGTTGCCCTCGGAGTTCCAGCCTGGCGGCAGATTGGCCGCGGGAGGCACGTCGGCATCCATGAAGGAGAGGAAGAAAATCCTGGGAGATCTCTTCGAAGCTTACGTGGCGGCCGCCATCCTCGGGGACGCGGGTGGCCTCGAGCGCGTCGCTGTGTGGATCAAGCCGTTATGGAGCACTACTCTCAAACATGAGATCTGCCTCGAGCACAAGGCATCGACCGCCACACAAGGACCAGGCAATGGAGTCAAGGCTCAAGAGAGTAATGGCTCCGATACCAATGGAGTGCAATCTGCCATCCAAAAGAAGTCTCCCAAGGTGGCACTGTCGCAGGCCATCGGGGCAAAGACGGTTACGATCACCTACCAGGATGTGGGAGCCCCAAAGAAGGATAAGAACACCGGCTTACCGTGGTTTACCGTGGGGGCATACTACGACGGCTTCGGTGAGAGGAATCTGCTTCTCGGGTACGGCAGCGGTCTATCCAAGAAGGAGGCCGGCGCAGAAGCGGCGGCGAAAGCGCTCGAGAACAAGAAGCTTATAAAAAGATTACAAAAACTGAAAGAGGACATGAGCGAGCTACTCGGGAAATCTGAGCTCACATAGGAATGGATTTATGATGAGGAAGATCGCTATCACTCCGACCAGTCCCCTGCCCATATTCGGTTACAGATCTGCACATCTCGACTTTTCTCATGAGTCGAGCTATCACACTAACGTTACCTGGTTGTCGGCCGTGTCTGAGGCCTTCCTAAGGTTAATCTTCGTCTCCAACAGATTGCTAGGTAGGACGACGTAAACGCCATGTTGCTGTTGCATGAACTCCATCGAGACTCATCGTTCTGGCGGCCCTCGGTACCCAGACACGTCATCAGGACGTGGTCTATTGACAGAACCACTAGCTACCAGGATGTCTAGATTTTTTAAATGAATGAACTGAAGATGCACAGTATACCGACTTCTTTCATCTGTGCCAAATGGTGAATTGACGCTTGATAACCCCGCACTTTAACAACGACATGGAGTTTCCCTTCGCAAGAGAGCAGATGTTGGGTACGTATCTCGTGAAAAAAAAAAAGAAAAGAAAAAGAAAACAATCGAGTTCCGTTGAGCATACTGCGATGCGTGTAGAATGCCGCAATATGCGACGAGGGCCTCAACATCCACTGGTCGGTTAGCTCAGTTGGTTAGAGCGTCGTACTAATATCCTATCGTGATTCCAACATGGTAAAATATCGGTCCATGCGAAGGTCATGGGTTCGACCCCCATACTGACCACAGTCTTCATTTTTGATCCTTTCTTTTGGTTTGTTTGTTGTTTTTCTTGTGAAGAGTGAGGTGGGGTGGTTTGAGGTGCCGCCGGTGGAGGAGGTTAGCGTTTTTGGGGCGATAGCATGACTCGCGATAAGTTATAGGCATTTCAACATGAACTTGGATGGGATGATACGTGGTGTACATTTGAGCGTGGATGTGACGCGAAACATGACCATGAAGGGAGCGGTGAATCAAGCAGATTGCGTGTACGTAGTCTGTACGAAAATAGCTTCTTTTGATGATGACCTCCTGTCTCATGGGCAGTCTTGTGTGTAGCAGGTATTGGTTCTGCCCGGCGCCCGCACTCCAAGGCCCTCCTCATAGAACGTAAATACTCACATTATTGCCGATCTCTTCGACAATAAGCATGTAGCCAGGCCATGGTTTTACACCGGGATAAGACAGTTTAAAAGAAATCTTCTATGATGCAAGTATCGCGCTGGTAAGACCACTCTTGTCGGACTGGGATACTTGTAGGCATATGAGTGAGTAACACGCAAGCAATCTCAGTCTTCGCCACTGCGGAATTGCCGCTTTATATCAGAACGACGGTAGACTCTGGCAAGTCAGGGTGTAGATGACGCGATGTGGCTTGAGCGTAATGTCTACATCATATGAAGTGATCTGTTGCATAGTTTGGTCTGTTCAACGGAAAAGGCATCAGAGTCAAAGGAGAGGAATTCTGGTTCATCGACTGGAATTCCGGAACACAAAGAAAGCATTTCAGAATGATGAGAAGATATGACAAACATTATATGGCTGTAGGTTGCGGCTATGAGAAGAGACACCCACGGTTTACTTCCACATGTGATTGTAGCATGAACAATTGAAGAGAATGAAGAGAGTCCATGGGTATGAGAGGAGAAAGGATACTAGCCAGAAACGACAGCACTTTCACGTGCTGCTCTGGCTCTGGAATCTGGATATGGGAAAAGTGTCTGGGGGTCGATCCCCCACACTGCCCACTATGGAGCCGTTCCAAATGTGAACCAACTGGGTGGGTCTAGACTAGACTACTTGTACGTGATGCTGGGCAGTGGGTACAACCACAAGCACAGAGGGTAGGGCGTCCTTGTCAGGGGAAATCAACTGCTAATACAACAGCGCAGTGTGGTTGATTTTTGACGCCGAGGTAAATGATCAAACAACTCTCCAATAGCTGCATAAGGTCAACCGAGGAGAACAATCTATATCAACAAACATCTGTTTCCCCCATTCCTGTATCCTCGACTGCAATTTACGATATCATTCCTACGGTACGGCGTACCAGGTAAGGTCTTCTTTCTACGTAGTGGCATAACCCGGGAAGAGGGGAGAACTGATACATCATCCCACATCATAAACCGATCACGGCCATTTGTTCCTTTGATACGTGTCCATCTCAGCCAATGCGTCCCTTACTTGACACTGCCCGCTGAAACTATCAGTGATTCCGTATCGCGAAAAGACGGGCTCCTATATACATTATAAATGGACCGCCATTGTGAGACGAAGTAGATCTATCCCCGACCAGCCGAAGAGAAGCATCGTGTTTGCGCGTTCAAGACCGGTGGTGACGGGAGCGCGATGGCGGACTCTATTGGTATGTCTCACTTCTGCTCACTGTACGAGTCGCGACTGACGCTCCTCTCTCTTCCCGATAGACCGCGTGTTCGTGCACGCCCTCAATACCGTCAAGAAGATACCCAAGGGCCCATCGAGACCCCCGCCGAGCGATCGATTACGTCTGTATGGCTTATACAAGCAGGCTATGGAAGGGGACGTGGACGGGGTGATGGAGCGACCGCGGCCGGCACCAGGACTCGACGAGGACGAGCTCCAGCGCGAAAAGGATAAGTGGGATGCCTGGAATGCGCAGAACGGCCTCAGCCGCACCGAGGCTAAGAGGCGATACGTCGAGGCCCTGATAGATATCATGCACCGCTATGCTACTACCCCGTGAGTTGCCCTCGCCCATCCCCGCCCGACAAAGCGAGAGGGGCGCTTTGCCTGACAAAGGAGACTCTTCACAGAGACGCGTTGGAGCTAGTGGCCGAGCTCGAATTCGTCTGGAACCAGATCAAAAGCATCACGCCCTCGTCCTCGAACTCGTCGCCCAAGGCGCGCGCGTCCTTTAGCGAACCACGGCGGTCTCAGAAACCCACGAGCGGAACCAAGGGGGCGCTGATAGTGCTCAGTCCCATGAGCGAAGACGACGCGGCCGAGCAATACCGCGACAAGCGGGACGACGAAGAACAAGATGAAGATGAAGATGAAGAGAGCAAATACGTGAAGAAGGGCGATCGCTGGTCCAGAAAGGTCGAACGGGCATTGGTGCGGTTGTCGGCCGAGATAGCAGCGCTGCGGGAACAGATCACGGCGGGTCGCGAGTGGAGGGCGAGGAGAGAGAGCAGCATACTGGAGTGGATCGGCCGGCTCTTCGTCACGGCCGCCAAGCACTTCGCCGTCGACTTGTTCGTCCTCGCCATCGTCCTGATATGGATGCGGAAGAGGAAAGACAGGCGGCTGGAGGACCAGGTCCGGGCCATACTACGAGTGCTGCGCGAGTACGCAAGAAAGGTCCTACCGTCAAGATGATGCGGTGGCCTCGGGAAAAGGTTACGAGATGAGAGAGGGACTCTCATACCTACTTAAATACCTGGGTAGGAAGATGCGCTGTCTTACGGCGTCCCCAGCAAGGAGGAGGTACCGCTGCACCGTACCACAATCACCCGTGCACAGCACACCCGTTGATGCTGTCACAACTACTTCGACGCTAGGTTGTGCTCGTCGAGACGGCGGTGCGCACCTGTGATCCGGTCCACGATTCGACCTTTTGCCGTCCGAAGGGGGATGTAACGCAACGCGGAAATCCTGTGTCCGTGTCACACATGGACAATAATTGGATAGCAGAGGAGAAAACCCCATGTCCTGGGCATACATACATACATACACCAGGTCAGCGTACGGATGTCTGGCATGTGGGGCCGGGGTGTTATCTTATTATCCTGCTGGATTGAATCGCTTTGGGTATAGATGGACTATATCTGATAATCAGGCTACGATACACATCGATATAGACGCGAAGAATTATAGAAACACAAAAAGAAAATATGAAACTACTATACTGCTTGCTGTCTTCTTCTTGTGGTTTGAGGTGAATTCTTTTGCTGTTATTCCTTGAGCTTATCATCTGTTTGTTGGTGGCTTCTCCTCACATCATCATCGCCACCCTTGGTACGATTAGCAATAGAAAGAGAAGCTATTTTTCTACCTAACAACCTCAGGGGAGTGTATAGTCTACTGCTGTATATATACTCAATGGCTTAACTGGGGTTCAGATAAATGCAAAGAACACAAAGGATGAACGCTACGATGTAGAGTAGTAAGGGGGGTAGAAGTGGCGCCCTGCTGTACCCTGATTTCCATATCCTATCAGGAGAGGGCTGGTTACTTTTACCCTTCACGTCTGGCCGAGCCTTCGAGGAGCTTTGTGTCTTGTCTAAGTAATTAATCATGTTTTGGGTATAGTACTAATATAAGACCTTGTACAACATTCTCTGTTGGGACATTACTATCTACACTACATGTTTCCATTATGCAGCAGCACCATGCTGTTAGATTAGTGGTGGTGCGTGTGAAATACCATTTTATGATAGGCCACAGGCAGACAGACCATCGTCCTTCACATATATCTCGTTTGTCACCCTCCTAACCTAGCTCATACCGCGGATAAGTCCGTGGCTGATCCACAGGCACGGCTAGTTCGGCAGGGCCCGGCAGATCCGTGTGCAGCGCGCTCAGGCTCGGCTGCTTCTAGAAATATGGGGGAGGGTTTGACTGAATACCAGCGGCGACCGGCGGCGCACCACCGAAATAGTAGGCCGCGGGCTCGGCAGTGCCAGTCGTGTTCCGCTTCCTCCGCCGCCGCCGCCGCCGCCGTCGCCAGATCAGAGTGCCGACGAGGATGAGGGCGACCGCGACCGCGGCGCCGACAGCGATGCCGGCAATGGCGCCCGGGACTAGCCCCGCTTTACTTTCCGCCTGGGGCGGAGGCGGAGAGGGCGAAGGCGAAGTCGACCGCGGAGGAGGAGCAAGAGGCGATGACGAAGCGGCAGAGTCCGAGCAGAAACCCGTGGCCTCGTTGCCCGCGCTGTCGATGGCCACGAGGTCCTCGACGCTCGTCGGGCTGGCCGACCACATGGTGAACTCTCCCTTGTCCTGGTTGACCATGACGTAGGCCGAGGAGAGGAACTGGCGGCCCAGCATGCTCAGCTTCGTCGCGTCGCTGGCCTGCAGCGGGTAGATGGCCAGGTTCGACCGCGAGTAGTTGGCCACGATCCGGCCGTCGGTCGAGTCGACGTATCGGTCCGGGAGGACGAGCTGGTTGTTGGGGATGCGGATCGTGGGCCCGTCGCGCACGCTGATGGACATGTCCCCGTCGTACGGCGTGTCGTCGTCGTCGTAGTAGACGTGTAGTACTCCTGGCCGAAAGTCCAGGCCTGGACGGTGCTGTTGGTGTACGCCTTGAACAGCGAGAAGTACGGTTTGAGCGCGATGTTGATCAACACGGGCAGGTCGGGCACGATACAAGCGGAAAAGCCGCCGCCGGCCGTGCCCGCCACGATGCTGAAGTCGGTACCATTGGGTAGATTGAGCACGATCTCGTCGATGGTCACGAGCAGCATTGATCCCCAGGTCATCGGTATATGTTGCTGTCGCGTCAAATGGCTCGTCGCCGTTGGGAATAGTAGTGTAACTAGTGTTGATTGGCTCATGACAGACTCAAGAAGGTTATATTAACCACCAGGCCACATCCTGCAGGCAAGGTGGTCGAGGTGCTTGACCCGTACACCGGCATGGTCCATGGCGGTTAGCATACCGCACAGCTTACTAACCCCGTTACCTGACAAATCTCAGAACATGGCGTACCGTTGTGGCATGAAGGCAAAACTCTGTGGAGGATGGGGGACAAATATCTGGCC